TTCTCAATCCAAACTCAATGTTTAGCACATTAAGTCACAAACATAATTTTCCAGTACAAGTAATGCATATATTTTTGATAGAAATGACCATTTAGTAAAAGACTTTCTATAGTGACAACTGCAGCGAATAAAGTGACAAGTCAGAGATAAAATTTTGAACAAAAAGTGTCTTGAAAGTAAAAAACTGAATTTAATTTTATTGTACGTTTTCTATGTGTTTTTTTTTAAGACTTTACAGTTGGTGTTTAAGAATTGTTAATAACACCATCCAATAACACATAAATACATAGTGATATTTTAAAATTTCCAGTCAACATTAAACATTTTTAACTGCACCAGACTTAGCACGTTTTCTGTTTCCAGTAAAAATCCTGAAGCTTTTCATTTCTCTTCGCTACAGAACCAGTCTGTGGTGGTGGCAGACTTTGGACTTGCCAGGCTGGTGATGGATGAACGGAGTCGGAGCAAATCATCACCTCTGGAGCGGAGCGTGAAGGGGCCACTGCCAGAGCTGCGCAAACCTGACCGGAGAAAACGATATACTGTGGTTGGGAACCCCTACTGGATGGCCCCTGAAATGATCCATGGTGAGTGTGTTAACCAACTCATGAATGACGGACCTTCATGGTCTAAACTGAAACAAAAACTGTGCAGCTCATTACATTTTTCTCTTTTGCTCTCAGGAAAAACCTATGATGAACGTGTGGACATATTTTCCTTTGGGATTATGACTTGTGAGGTAGGAACTGTTTGGTAATAACACAAAAGACCTGATGTAGCTAAGAAAATATAACCAATAATTTCTGTTATTTTATCTTATGACAGGAAGGAAATTTCTAAAAATATATATGAACTTACTAGTAATCGTTTAAAATATTTTTTCCAACACATATTAAGTTCAAATTGCAAAATAAGTTTAAGAGATAAGCTGAACAAATTGATGCACTGCTGCCACCTTCTGGTAGTAGTGTGTTACTACCACAAGGTTGCTAAAAGCAAGATGTTTAGGAAAAGAATGGCACAATTAAAATGTGATTTTAAATTAATATCTATCGACACTACTGATAAATTAGAATATGAAAATCTAATTTAAAGTGAAACTCATACATGCATTCATTACACAGAGTGATATACTTTGAATATTAATGAAGTTTATCACAAGTGCAAGAAATCTGAATATTACATAAAGGAAAAAATATTTTTAATACATAAACATCATATTCCACACAATCGTATGCAATGCTGCTGTTTTAACGATTGTCCAGAATAAACCCACTGATATTTAGAGACACAAAATTCACATTTCTTGAGGCTCGTCTAACACCAAATTCGGAGCACTTTATATTTCCCACTTCACTGAGTTTTCACAAGCCAAAAAGTGTTTAAGTTTAAAGTTACACTTTAAAACAGTTGCTTATCGATTCCTCTTTGTGTCATCAGATAATTGGCAGAGTGAGTGCTGATCCGGACTACCTTCCCCGAACTAACGACTTTGGACTAAATGTAGAAAGTTTCCTGCAGCAGTATCACTCTCCACTGTGTCCATCTGCCTTCCTGCCATTGGCTGTTCTCTGCTGTGACATGGATGCTGATAAACGGTACAACTGTGTGAAAATAATTGAAGCTCTTTGATATAAAAATAATTTTTCGGTATTTTTACTAAGAAAATAGTTACATCTATGCAAAAAAATTTAGATGCTTACATGTTTTTGTGAAAAACAGCCAAATGAAGAATAAAACATGAATGTCTTTGCCTTTTAGACCCTCTTTTTCAAAGCTGGAGGAGTGGCTGGACAACCTGCTAATGAACCTGGACATCAGCCTGCCTTTGCTTTCTGAGTTGGAGCAACTCTGTCAAGCCTTCTGGAAGATTCACAACCACCAAGACCAGAATGAAACTCCTGATCATCAAGACAATCTGAGCCCTAAGCTTTGTTCAGACGAAGCAAATGGCCACACAGAGCCTAATCACTACCAAGGCCAAAGTAGCAAAACCGACAAAGAAGTGAATGGTGAGCAAAATGCACATGGCCACAATCTGAGGACTAAATCACAACACACAAACCAGCCCTGCTGCGAGTCTAAAAGCTCAGACCTGGGGAAGAGCGAGTGTGAGTCTCAAGAGGACAGCAACGTTAAAGAACAAGCAAAACCGCAGCATGAGTCGACACTGGTGGGCCGACCAAATAGGACTAGAAGAACTTGTAGAGTGCTGTGGGAAAGATCTACGGAGGACAGCTCGTTTCTCTGAATCGTTCTCAACATGACTGCGTTCAGTGTTGGGGAATAAACACATTTTTTGAGGACGTTGGTACCGTGGCACAAAATAGAGAGACGTATTTTAACTGATTACTATGAATTGTGCAACTGCAGATTTGTGAAGAATGTTTTCGAGAAGCTGTGCAGCTTGATATTAATTAAATAACAGTCCATAAACCAGTATTTAAGTAGCAAAGCTAAAGCCTAGTTCAATAGGAATGTAATTCAGTATTCTTTACAACAAAAGACATACTGAGAAAACGTCCTGAAATTTCTGAAATTACATGGATGGATGCTCTCTTTTGATGGACTGTGCTTTAGCTCTACAGTTTATAAATTACCTCAAGCATACAATTTAACATTTCTGTATTGCAAGGGCTGTTTACTACTTGATAAGCAAGAGCATGTCTGTCATAAGCTCAGATTGTCAAATGGCTCCAATTTCAAATTGGTCCAGAAGCTGTGAAATATGTTATTTTATTCTTTAAGGAATGTTTAATTATTTTTTTTAGATTGTCTTATGTCTTGTCCCATACACTGAGCTAGAAAATAACTACTAATGCTATTAAACTGTGTAGATAAGACCACAAAAATATGTACACCTTCTAATGTATAAGTCTGTATTACTATATTAAGACAGGGTACAGAGAAGTGACTGGGAAAAAAGTACCTGATTTATGCTTTCAGGTTAATCCTGGTCATCTCATTAAGGCATTTGTCCACATGTCCCCTTGTCCCTGAAAATTCAAACAAGACCATCAGGAGTTATTCTTTACGTCCTGTGGTGAGATATCAATCATGGTAATCTCTTCCAGAATTTTAAGGCCTCTCAGATTAACAAATAAAGTCACTGAGTGGGGTGATTAAACCTTCAAAAAAGATCCTTTAAAAATAAAGCTGCTGCAAATTTCTAGAAACTAATCAGTGTTTATGTCATGACTCAACTGTTTTAAAATACTCAATATGGTTATTTTTTTAACTAATGCCTTTCACAACTTTTGGTTTAAAAACAAATCAATTAACACACTATTTTGAGTACAAATAAACATAAAATCACCAGGTCAGACCTGTAAAAACAAAAAACTGTTGGCTGCATCTCTACCTCAAAATAAAGCATATGTAGATATTGTCAAAACCAAATTACCAAAATACAGATTTGTTTATATAATAATGTCTCTACAATTTCAACAAAGAATATTCCTCTTCAAACTTGTTTGAAAAAAATATTTGAGATTAACTGAATTGGTTAAAAAAATTGTAATTTACATTTTCCTATCATATTTACAGCTAAATTTTGCAAAATTTTTCCAGAAAATATCACATTGTGCTCCTGCTGTTTCACTCATTTCCTATAAACACAACTTTTAATATCGGCGTTTTACTACTTTTTACAATTACAACACATATGAATTTCTGAGTTATTTTTTACATGCTAACTTTTCCTTCTGAGACAGTACAGGGCATAAAGTCTGATTATAAATAACATTTGCGCTGGTTTTAAAATTATACATTAATAATATTCATATATTTAACATCTTAAATATTAAATACTACATAATAACATTTAAAATTATGGTTCCTGAAGTTTTGGGTATTTTAGCTTGCCGTTTTTCTTTTTGTTAATTTTAACCCACCTCCACATCAGGTGGTGGCTAATGCTACATAGCAACTTGTCTCATACAGCACAAGGCTTAGCTTTAGCCAAGAGACAGATAGTAACAACGAAAATGTCACTTCAAAATATATCTCTCTAGCTAAGTAAACTAACTAAACGTTGCGAAATGTTTGACCTAGATTTGAAAAATATTTATGCTGGATAGCTAGCTTACCTTCTAGTTTACAGCACAAAAGTTAAAACGGCAAAAATTTACTAAAAAGGCAAATAAAAACCAAGAAAGAGTTATTTAACGCAGTCTATATTTTATAAATTTGAAATTATTACCATAATAAACAGTTTCAGCGAAGAAGTACCAAGCCGTTATGCTCTCGTGCTCTCTAGGTTATCAGCTTTACCTTTGACCTCTGACCGACCAATCAAAATGGAGAGAAGTCTGGGAGCTGCCAAATTAAAACTATATTTTATTTATCGATTAATTGATTAAGGATTTAACAAGCGAATATTTTATTTTCTAACTTTCTCTTGTCTTTCCTGCGTTATTTAATCAGTGTTAATAGGTGTCAACCCTGACATATTCTCAATAACATTTTGATTTAGTTAGGTAGTGGATGAGAAGTAATTAAGAAAATGCATTTATAATGTGATTGTTAGAAGATGAGGGACGAGGTCTGTCACATTAAAATGAGCCTGGCAAGCTTCTCCGATTGAGCAATTAAAGACAATAAGTTTATTAATCTATGACAAAAATATTGTAAATTAATATCTAATTTAGCTATATTTGATTCTGTTTATATCAAGCAACTGTTTTACTTCAGTAGCTTTATATTAAAAACAGCCAATTAAAAAGGTTGCAACACTTTTGTTTGACTCACGTTTAATGGAAAACCTAACCAACATCCAGAGATCTGGTAGTCATATAATATATGAAAATTATGTTCTTACCGTTTGAAATTGCAAATATTTCCGGATTTAGCTAAGCTCCTAATCCCTCTGAGTGTAACCAAGTAGCTAACTGTTCCGGCATAATTGCAAAAGAGGGGACAAAAGTATATTAGATAATATGTGCAGGTGGCTTGTTATACAGACCAATGAATAAATACATAATGGCTTGCCATACAGGCAGGCGCTCTACAGCGGGGCGCCGCATGTCGCCTACTAATGCCGATCTGGGGTCAGTTTGGACTCAGGTCACACCATGGAGCACATGTCCTCTCCGGTCAGATTCCGCAGCAGTAAAAAAGGTAAGTTCATAACATTTACATATTTCTAGCATGTCTTTCTGTTTTATTAAAGTTTTCGGCAGTGAGGAAATAACTTCACTATTTAAACTACAAATTAATCACCCTGAAATATTCATGCTGAGCACCTTGAGGAGTCTGTCCAAATGTTTCTTGTGCTAATTAAGGCTTGTTTATTATAATCTTAATTATTTATTTAAATTACCACATTTATGTTTACGTTATGCCACATTAACCATACTCATTTATTTTTCATATATTCCTTTTAGCAACTCATTTTCTCCTTTATACTAATGTTTTAATGTGCTGCTCTCCTTGTTCAAAGAAGCTACAGCTTTTTCGGAAAAGCAGGTAGGATTGTCTTTAAAATACACTTGTGTTTGTTAGAGAGCGTGTTTGTGTGTTTAGGAGGTAATTCTCCAACCCCCACCCTGTTAGCGTATTAGAAGCTGGGTTAAGCCTGGTGCTGAGGAGCTTTCTGGATAATTAGAGGTGACAGGTAGAGGGATGGCAGATGAACCCTGATCAGACCTGCAGCTCTGTGAGTTGCACTTCTCTGTCATTAGACCAAGTCAGTAGGACAGTAGGCTTAATAGTTGGCTTAGATTTCATCACAGAGTAGATGATGTTGCGTTCAGGATGGAGTATAGAATCAGTTGATGTTTGAGGCTGTCCTGATAAATAATGACCTGTATAAAGATGCTCTTCACAGTTTGTAGTTTGACCTGGCTGACCCTGAAGTTCAGGGAGTCTTTTGTCCTCTTGCCCTGACAGATGGATGACTTCCTTTTTAACGTTATAATGAGATCACTGGTCAGATCTAATAAGAGAAAAAACAGTGTAGTCAAACAGTGCAGGTGGAGATCAGTAGGCACTTTATCAGTCTGTTTCCGTACCTACAGCATTATATTTACAAAAAAAATTATAGTGGACATTTCCATATTTTCTAGTGGAAATATTTTAGTACGTACATGTAAAATAAGACAAAACTAACTCATAACTTTTCAGCAAGATATAGGAGCTCGTTTAGAGTCAATAATTTCATAAAAGTACTTGCTTCATTGGCAGATTATTTCACTTATGAGCAAAATGACTTGTTAAAAGTTAAATAATCTGCGGATGGAACTAGTACTTTTTCGTCAATACTAAGTAATTATTTACTTAAAACAAGCTCCTGTATCATGCTGACAAGTTACTTGTAAGGAAGTTTTGCCTTACTTCAAGTGAATTAGGATATATTCACTAGAAACTAGACCAAAATTATTTCGTAAGGTTTTGTTTTTGCAGTGTAATGGATGTTTTCACATTTATTTTTCATCGCCAGTCACAGTTTGACATAGCTGCCAGTAGGGGTCAGTATCGCTCCATCAATGATAGATGACCGTTGCTAGGAGATAACCGTTGCTAGGAGATAACCGTTGCTAGGAGATAACCGCCGTGTAGCGATACTTATTTCTAAATGAGTCATTTGTGTTGCAGCGTAACATTTTCACATTTAGCTATTTATTCACTGGGAGGTTTTTTTTTTTTTACTGACAGTAGTGGATGTACTTGTTTCCCCATTATTATGAAGTCTTAGCAGGAGACTGTACAGAAAAGAAACAAACTTTGTGACATTTTGTCCCAGTTGTCCAGTCTGTCCATCGAAGACCAGGCAGACATACAGTTCCCCTACGCCATGAGGGATCTACCTCCTGTGTCTCATTCAGATGAACAGTCACAGAATCAAGACCGCTTGGATGCAGAAGAACCTCCGACTGCAGCCAACGGGAGGCTGCCCGGTTATCCAGGAACGCCCCCTCCATCCCGTCCAGTTCGCCCTGCCGGTTCTCCGACCGTCCCGCCCCGGCCCAGTCACGCAGGACGGGACTGGTCACAGATTCTCCCGTTGAAGAGGCAGCTTGTCTCCCAGGTTTCTCTGGACTCTCCTCTGAGCCCGGCCTCGCGGCCGCGCAGCCCCTGGGGACATTTTGACCCTTACGACTCTCCAGAGGTTGGTTTGGTTTGACGACTTTGACCTCTGACTTTGTTCTCACTCACATTTGTGTAAACTGGAGAGTTTCCTTCCTTTATTTACTCTGATCGTTTGTAAAGTTACACATTAAAAAATTAACAGCAATAATTTATTTTATTTAGCCTGTCATAGAGAGTTCATTTTTCAAAATCATATTTTAACAATGTTAAATAAACTAAATTTTCAATTAACAAATTAAATATTTAGTTTGTAAATACAAAATATTTAAAATAAAATCACTAACGTGAAAACATTCAGCTAAATATTTACATGTTTAAGTCTGAGCTCAACATTTAATTTTCAAACTAAATATTTATTCTCCAAATATTTAGCTCAGATGTAAATATTTAACTTGCTAACTAATTTTTTTATTTGAAAGCTACATATTTAGTTTGTAAAAATATTAAGCTTGGTAATTAAATATTTAGTTAATAATGCTGATATTTATAAATGTAGGAATGCCATGGTGAAAATATGACTTTAAAAAATTAACACCCACATTTTTTTCTCTGTCACAGGCTAAGTAAACCTATTGCTGTTATTTTTTTACTGTGTAACTTTACAAATGGACGCTTCACTGCTGTTGTTGTCTTAAACTATCATTGACTATGTCTGATTAATCGTCACAGATTCATTGAGTTGGGCTTGTTGAAGGCCACAGCAGTAACTGGTTGCTTCATGATGCTAAAATGTGGAAATGCTGAGCAATAATATGACGTTCATGTCTTCGTTCTGCAGGATCAGGACAAAGAGTACGTGGGTTTTGCTACGTTGCCCAACCAGGTTCACAGAAAGACGGTGAAGAAAGGATTCACCTTTACGCTGATGGTGGCAGGTGAATATCTTTTTTAAAATAACCTAATTATGCTGCTAGAATAACACAAGGCAATTCCAGTCAGAAGTTTCCATCATTTTTTACTTTTACTGATTTATTTTATCCACTTTTTCCCACTGGTGCCGTGATTATGCTTCAGTGTTGATGTGGTTTTGGGATCGTTGTGTCAGTGGTTTGACACACAGCTGTTGCTTCACGTTAAAATTGAAAAATGTGCAGGCAGTTCTTCATCTTAATCATTTATTTATCAGCTTTGTAAAATGCATCAGTGTCTCTGGAAGAAAAACAGCCCACAGCATGATTCTATCACCACCATGCTCAACAGCTGCCCCAGTATTCTTGGTCAGAATATTGTTTGTCTTATCTGACTCGGAGACGTTTGTCCAGAAAACATTTAGTTTGTCCAGCTTTGCGTTGAGCTCTATAACTTTGGTTTCACATTTTTTATTTTGGATTTTCTTCTGGATCATTTTGGCTTTTATTTTTTAGTAACTCTCATTTTCTGCCATAACATTCACTACAGTTTTTAGACGGACTCATGGAAAAACACCTTAATTTGTCATTGTCTGATAAAACTAAGAGTGAAGTTTTTGGTCACAACTATCAATACAAAAAAATGGTGAAAAATGAAAGCGCATACGAAGGTGGCAACATCATGGGAGTGTTTCAGTTGGGAACTAATTATTTAGCTTCCAAACTAAATTTTTAATTTGAAAGCCAAATATTCAGTTTGTAAACATTAGTTGAGAAGTAAAAGCTTGAAAATAAATAAATAACTATGCTAATGATTCTAAGCTTGTGGAAGAAAACCTCAAATAATCTGGCCCAAAACACATTAGAAGGCAGTTACTTTTTTATTTAATAAAAATAATAATAAGGAAGATGTGATGTGATCTGATTTGATTATTTTTAAAGTGACTTAGAGAAATGTGTGTTCCTGTTATTGTAGGAGAGACTGGACTCGGCAAATCCACACTAATAAACAGTTTGTTCCTCACTGACCTCTACAGAGACAGAAAAGTTCCCAATGCTGAGGGTGAGCTCACCTTCATCACTTATCCAACCATTCAGCTCTTCTTAGAGAGTTTTTAACTCTGCATGCATCGTTACCTTTGGCTAATCTGCAGAGCGGATCGGTCAAACGGTCGACATCATCAAGCACACCATCGGCATCGAGGAGAAAGGGATCAAACTGAGGCTCTCCATCATAGACACGCCAGGCTTCGGAGATGCCGTCAACAACACAGCGAGGTGAGCGGACGTGTTAAAAACAGCTTCACACTGCTGCAGCAAACAGAGTATTAATAAGCTCCTAAATATCCAAGACCTCACCTGCAGAAATCACACATATATACAAATATAATCTCATTAAAACATTTATCAGACTGCCAAAAACACAGAATATTAGCAAGTAATTTTGGTCAAATATCTTCATTTGAAGTAAGACAAAACTAATGCTTAAGTAACTTTTCAGCAAAATATGTGAGCTTGTTTTAAGTCAATAATTCCTTAATATTGATGAAAAAGTAACAAATCCACTGACAGATTATTTCACTGATAACATGGGAAAATATCTTGTTATAAGTGAAATAATCTGCCAAGGGAACTAGAACTTTTTCATCAATATTAAGAAATTAATGACTCTAAATAAGCCCTTATATCTTGCTAAAAAGTTACTTATTTATTTTATATATATTTTTAACTTCTTTCCTCATTTATTTTCCAGTTATGTATTTATTTTCCTTTCTCTGCATTATATTATGATTGTACAAATACTTTAAAAACAATTTTGTTGCTTATGCTTAATTTTGACAGGTTTGTTAAACGTCACTCGGTATCACGGAGTGTGTATAAAATAAATAATCGTGAAACTGCTTGCATTAAACCCATCTCCTGTTGGCTTGCTGCTCTAATCACAGATATTTTATGTGTTTGCATCAGCTGGAAGCACGTAGAAGACTACATTGACCAGCAGTTTGAGCAGTATTTCAGAGATGAGAGTGGGCTGAACAGGAAGAACATTCAGGACAACAGAGTCCACTGCCTGCTCTACTTCATCTCTCCATTTGGCCACGGGTTCGCTCCTATTTCTGCAGATGTTTTACAGCCTCAGCTGCATCCATGCAGCATGTTCACAGTTTAATCATGTTTTGTTTTCCCTCTGCTGTCAGTTTAAGGCCCATCGATGTGGAGTGCATGAAGGCTTTGCATGAAAAAGTCAACATTATTCCTCTACTGGCCAAAGCCGATAGCCTGACACAAGCAGAAGTCTACAGCAAGAAATTAAAGGTACAATAATTTATGAATTCAGTAGTTTTCTTTACTCAAATCTAAAAATAATCCAGGATGCAACTATTTATCTTGTACCATTAAAAGCTCATTGAACAGTTTATTTTTTGTGATTGTCAGAGTTGGGTAGTAACTAGTTACATTTACTCAACTACATTTACTTGAGTAACTGTTTCTTTTTTAAATGTACTTTTATGAGTATTTTTGCTACTTTTTTCTTTTACTTTAGTATTTTTATTATGAAGTATCGCTACTTTTGCTTGAGTAAAATTTCCTGATTCTGGACCTACTGAATGAAAACAAACATGTTTTAACCAAAATCTCACCAGACACAGACCCACACCTGCAGGTTTTGTATTAAAAGTTTTATATTGAAACAAACTGATTTAGAAAAAAATTATTTTATCTGATTTTGTTATTTGTTTTTACTTGTATGAATTATTGTAATTTTCATCCTTAAAATACCAAAATTTCCACTTAATAATTTGGTTCGTCTGATGATGTAATTGTTAAATATTAAATGATTGATAATTTGATCAGTTAGTCAGTACTTGAGTCGACTTTTTACCAAATACTCTTACTCAATAAGAGGATGTCTTTTTACTTTTAGTTGAATAAAAATATGTGAAGTAGTACTACTCTTACTTTAGTACTATTTATGGGTACTTTACCCATCCCTGATCATTGTTTACTCCTCTTCCACCANAACACCCACATTTTTTTCTCTGTCACAGGCTAAGTAAACCTATTGCTGTTATTTTTTTACTGTGTAACTTTACAAATGGACGCTTCACTGCTGTTGTTGTCTTAAACTATCATTGACTATGTCTGATTAATCGTCACAGATTCATTGAGTTGGGCTTGTTGAAGGCCACAGCAGTAACTGGTTGCTTCATGATGCTAAAATGTGGAAATGCTGAGCAATAATATGACGTTCATGTCTTCGTTCTGCAGGATCAGGACAAAGAGTACGTGGGTTTTGCTACGTTGCCCAACCAGGTTCACAGAAAGACGGTGAAGAAAGGATTCACCTTTACGCTGATGGTGGCAGGTGAATATCTTTTTTAAAATAACCTAATTATGCTGCTAGAATAACACAAGGCAATTCCAGTCAGAAGTTTCCATCATTTTTTACTTTTACTGATTTATTTTATCCACTTTTTCCCACTGGTGCCGTGATTATGCTTCAGTGTTGATGTGGTTTTGGGATCGTTGTGTCAGTGGTTTGACACACAGCTGTTGCTTCACGTTAAAATTGAAAAATGTGCAGGCAGTTCTTCATCTTAATCATTTATTTATCAGCTTTGTAAAATGCATCAGTGTCTCTGGAAGAAAAACAGCCCACAGCATGATTCTATCACCACCATGCTCAACAGCTGCCCCAGTATTCTTGGTCAGAATATTGTTTGTCTTATCTGACTCGGAGACGTTTGTCCAGAAAACATTTAGTTTGTCCAGCTTTGCGTTGAGCTCTATAACTTTGGTTTCACATTTTTTATTTTGGATTTTCTTCTGGATCATTTTGGCTTTTATTTTTTAGTAACTCTCATTTTCTGCCATAACATTCACTACAGTTTTTAGACGGGCTCATGGAAAAACCCCTTAATTTGTCATTGTCTGATAAAACTAAGAGTGAAGTTTTTGGTCACAACTATCAATACAAAAAAATGGTGAAAAATGAAAGCGCATACGAAGGTGGCAACATCATGGGAGTGTTTCAGTTGGGAACTAATTATTTAGCTTCCAAACTAAATTTTTAATTTGAAAGCCAAATATTCAGTTTGTAAACATTAGTTGAGAAGTAAAAGCTTGAAAATAAATAAATAACTATGCTAATGATTCTAAGCTTGTGGAAGAAAACCTCAAATAATCTGGCCCAAAACACATTAGAAGGCAGTTACTTTTTTATTTAATAAAAATAATAATAAGGAAGATGTGATGTGATCTGATTTGATTATTTTTAAAGTGACTTAGAGAAATGTGTGTTCCTGTTATTGTAGGAGAGACTGGACTCGGCAAATCCACACTAATAAACAGTTTGTTCCTCACTGACCTCTACAGAGACAGAAAAGTTCCCAATGCTGAGGGTGAGCTCACCTTCATCACTTATCCAACCATTCAGCTCTTCTTAGAGAGTTTTTAACTCTGCATGCATCGTTACCTTTGGCTAATCTGCAGAGCGGATCGGTCAAACGGTCGACATCATCAAGCACACCATCGGCATCGAGGAGAAAGGGATCAAACTGAGGCTCTCCATCATAGACACGCCAGGCTTCGGAGATGCCGTCAACAACACAGCGAGGTGAGCGGACGTGTTAAAAACAGCTTCACACTGCTGCAGCAAACAGAGTATTAATAAGCTCCTAAATATCCAAGACCTCACCTGCAGAAATCACACATATATACAAATATAATCTCATTAAAACATTTATCAGACTGCCAAAAACACAGAATATTAGCAAGTAATTTTGGTCAAATATCTTCATTTGAAGTAAGACAAAACTAATGCTTAAGTAACTTTTCAGCAAAATATGTGAGCTTGTTTTAAGTCAATAATTCCTTAATATTGATGAAAAAGTAACAAATCCACTGACAGATTATTTCACTGATAACATGGGAAAATATCTTGTTATAAGTGAAATAATCTGCCAAGGGAACTAGAACTTTTTCATCAATATTAAGAAATTAATGACTCTAAATAAGCCCTTATATCTTGCTAAAAAGTTACTTATTTATTTTATATATATTTTTAACTTCTTTCCTCATTTATTTTCCAGTTATGTATTTATTTTCCTTTCTCTGCATTATATTATGATTGTACAAATACTTTAAAAACAATTTTGTTGCTTATGCTTAATTTTGACAGGTTTGTTAAACGTCACTCGGTATCACGGAGTGTGTATAAAATAAATAATCGTGAAACTGCTTGCATTAAACCCATCTCCTGTTGGCTTGCTGCTCTAATCACAGATATTTTATGTGTTTGCATCAGCTGGAAGCACGTAGAAGACTACATTGACCAGCAGTTTGAGCAGTATTTCAGAGATGAGAGTGGGCTGAACAGGAAGAACATTCAGGACAACAGAGTCCACTGCCTGCTCTACTTCATCTCTCCATTTGGCCACGGGTTCGCTCCTATTTCTGCAGATGTTTTACAGCCTCAGCTGCATCCATGCAGCATGTTCACAGTTTAATCATGTTTTGTTTTCCCTCTGCTGTCAGTTTAAGGCCCATCGATGTGGAGTGCATGAAGGCTTTGCATGAAAAAGTCAACATTATTCCTCTACTGGCCAAAGCCGATAGCCTGACACAAGCAGAAGTCTACAGCAAGAAATTAAAGGTACAATAATTTATGAATTCAGTAGTTTTCTTTACTCAAATCTAAAAATAATCCAGGATGCAACTATTTATCTTGTACCATTAAAAGCTCATTGAACAGTTTATTTTTTGTGATTGTCAGAGTTGGGTAGTAACTAGTTACATTTACTCAACTACATTTACTTGAGTAACTGTTTCTTTTTTAAATGTACTTTTATGAGTATTTTTGCTACTTTTTTCTTTTACTTTAGTATTTTTATTATGAAGTATCGCTACTTTTGCTTGAGTAAAATTTCCTGATTCTGGACCTACTGAATGAAAACAAACATGTTTTAACCAAAATCTCACCAGACACAGACCCACACCTGCAGGTTTTGTATTAAAAGTTTTATATTGAAACAAACTGATTTAGAAAAAAATTATTTTATCTGATTTTGTTATTTGTTTTTACTTGTATGAATTATTGTAATTTTCATCCTTAAAATACCAAAATTTCCACTTAATAATTTGGTTCGTCTGATGATGTAATTGTTAAATATTAAATGATTGATAATTTGATCAGTTAGTCAGTACTTGAGTCGACTTTTTACCAAATACTCTTACTCAATAAGAGGATGTCTTTTTACTTTTAGTTGAATAAAAATATGTGAAGTAGTACTACTCTTACTTTAGTACTATTTATGGGTACTTTACCCATCCCTGATCATTGTTTACTCCTCTTCCACCATGATAGTTTTCTTCTGTTTCAGATGAGGGATGAGATCAAGCAGTTTGGGATTAACATCTACCAGTTTCCAGAGTGCGACTCGGATGAAGACGAAGACTTCAAGAGACAGGAACAGATCCTCAAGGTCTGTCCTGGAAATGAGATAAAAGTGGCGTCTCATCCTCACAGGCTCTAACAGTTTGACATTTTGACCTCTGTTTGCAGGACAGCATACCATTTGCTGTAATCGGGAGCAACATACAGGTGGACAGTAAAGGCAGAAAGTTCAGGGGTCGCTCTTATCCCTGGGGTGTGGTGGAAGGTACGAAACAAACTGCTTGCCAAAAGTATCGCATTTTGTCACTTTACACCCATGGAACCTGAATGTGCTGAGTTTTTTTTTGAAGAGATTCCATTTAATGCACACCAAAGAATAGATATAGGAGCTTGTTTTAAGTAAAGTATCCTTAATACCGTTAGAAAAGTACTAGTTCCATTGGTGAATAAATTCATTTCCATATTATTAATGAAATAATCTGCTAATGGAACCAGTACATTTTCATCAATATTAAGGAGTTACTGACTTAAAACAAGCTCCTATATCATACTGAACGGTCAAATCTAACTTTTGAACTAGAAACTAGACAAAAAATACTTGGTAAGATTTTTCAGTTTTGTTATTAAAATAATATTGGGGGAAAAACACCTTCAAATCAACGTATATCCTTAAATCGTTTAAAAAGCTTCTTATCCTTAAATTAAATCTATTTTTATGCATTCTCTTTTGTGACATTAATCGTTGTAGTTGAGAACCCGATCCACTCAGACTTCCTGATGCTGAGGAACATGCTGGTGAGGACGCACATGCAGGACCTGAAAGACGTGACGCGGGAGATCCACTATGAAAACTACCGGGCGCAGTGCATCCAGAATATGACCCGCATGATGGTGCAGGAGAGGAAACGCAGGTAGGCGGAGCCAGGACCCCTGTCAGCGTGGAGAAATTCACGCAACAAACTAATAAGGGGTTATTATTGATGAATGGGGCACACATTTTTGTTCTTGTTGCGTGTCTGTTTCAGTTTACGGGAGAAGCATCGCGAAGGGAGCGAGGTGGACTTTCCTCTTCCACTCGCAGCAGTTGACACCGAGATGGAGAGACAGATTTTCGAGAAAGATGAAGAAGTTTGTATCCTCCTGTCTCACTTATATGGATCCCCTGCATGTTATTATGTCCAGAAATTTCGCGCATGCGCACATCACTGGAGGGAAAAAAGGCTATTCTTTTACATGCCATCCATAGCCGCTCTCACTCCGGTGGTATAATAATTCCGTTAACTAAATGACACCTGTAGATGTAGGTATTATTAATTTGGTGCTGCGTGCCACAGCAAAGGGAAAAATAACGCAGAAGAAGCGTTGAAGAACAACTCAGAAACACGTTTTTTTTCACGCTCTCTGTGTCGGCTACTAAGCAAACACGTTGTCATAGCAACTGACAACAAAGCCACAAAAAAACAAACAAAAAAAAAACACTCAAGTATTTTCTACAAAAAGAAAACATTCAGTGCGTAACAGTATTATGTTTCAGGCTTGACGTTTATTTTGCTATTATTAATAAGTGATCGCTGCTGTTACCAATGCTAACACAGCAGTGATAGATTAGCTGATTCTATTAGCTAATCTAGCAGGTGGTTGATTAGCTAATTTAAACACTTGCTCTACTGATGGTCTGTCAAGAGTTGGTGTTTAGGTCGCCTTTTTTTATTTTTTTAACTGAACCGAAACACACCGAATTACTCGTCACATCTACCTGTTACAGTTGTCAAAGTCAAGGTAGCATAACTGAACCACTTAAGTTATTTTTTTCTTAATTAAAACTTTTTGTTATCTAGTTGTCATAGTGTAGCAAAGCCCTCCGCCCCTTTTTATTTTATATCAGGTGTGCCTTTAATATTTAGCGTGTTATATTGACAATTTAACTGCTAAAACCAATGCTAATCATTCTTGGCAAGCAGCTTTTTGCCCTTCACCAGGGATCTTACGCACGTGACGTCACATAGGAGCCCATATTTGTTGTACTTAGGTGAAGTAATCGATCTGCCACTGATTTCCTTCTGCTCTCCTTTCAGTTGAGAAAGATGCAGGAGGTGCTGGAGAGGATTCAGGAGCAGATGCAGCAGAGCCAGACAGGCACCTGCTGAGCAAACAGAGACTAAATCTTCTGCAAACCACCATTTCGACAAGTTCAAGTGAGAGCTTTCAAAAAATGGACCAAAATGTCTCAGTGGATCTTCACAGGGAAGGAACAACAACTGTGTGACAACTGGTTTGTGTTCATATCAAGAGAGCTGGTTGCATGGTGTTCAAACAGTGACTTGTAGTGAGTTCAAAATGCAATATAGAAGCTTTATTTAAATTTTAACAGAGTTCATTAAAACTTCTAACAATAAACAGGCAAAGAATATTTAATAAGGCCACATAAAAAAAAAACTTTGGCTGACGTCACTATTTTCTGATTAAAATATCATAAAAATCGTGTATGATCTTACTTTTATTTTATATTACCCATACTTCTCCACAAACATCTCTCTCATTATGTTGTTAAGCAAAAAAAAAAAAAAAAAATCGTCCTTGTTTTTAATTTTTCTTTCAGTTTCAAAAATCTGGCAGCCTTGAACGGTTCTGTTCCGTCTGTTTTCAGTTTTTTCAATGCATAGAAGAAGATCCCCGTTGCTCGTTGTGTCTGTGCGGCTCAGCACTGCCCCCTATCAGTGAGGCACGGTACTTTCTGCTTCAGCATGCGCATTTTCACTGCGCATTTATGGCCAAACATAAAGACGAAATATGCCGCACACATTCATTAAACATATCAAACAGACCGTAGAACGCCAATATATGTTGAAAAATATTTATTTAAACGAGTACATTGGCGATATAAAGACAGACACATGTGTGGTACAGCGCCCCCAGAGGTGAGGTACAGTACTGCACCGCAATACATCTTTCATGTTTTTAAAAAAGAAATGGGTAAATCCAGCGATTTTGACCATAAAAATGTTGAAATTACCAATAAAAAACAATATATAGAGAATTCAGGAGCACAAATTGATTTTCTCTCATCATTGTTAGCATCTATTTTACTTCTCATGTCCTTATTTATACTTGTCAGGATTACAGTGAGGAATCGCCTCCCCTGACTGTACGTCACTGTTGGCTCCATTTGTATTTGCTCTGGGGAAAATTAGTGCTCCAACTCATTATTTGGTGCAAAACTGATGCAGCATGATGCAATGACCCAGAGGTAAACCGATTCGCAGGGAGCTGTACTACGACTCAAGTTCAATCAACATAGTGGTGTTTGCTCTTCAACAAAACCTAAAACTCCTCTGAGAGACAGCAGGTAGAACAACAGTGATGATGGTTTCTCCTGGTTTTACTCTTTAGGGTTTCATGAAAAATACACAGATGATGTGGATTAATTTAAAAATATAAATATAGTTGCAGGAAAATGTGGCTCCAGTTACAAAAGGAAGAGCCATCTTGCAAACAAGTGAAAACAAGCATCCATTTGATCGCCCTGGCGATCAAATGGAGCCACATTTGTGATAAAGAGTTAAACACGGTCGGCTAAGCTGTTAATTTGTTTTGTTGTACAGCCTTGTTATGTTGGTTTCTTATTCTCCTGCTTTATTTTTGTACTGTCATTATGTTCCTGAACTTCTTCTTTAGTGTTATTCACCATTTATGGTCAGTGTGATGTTGGATTTTTAAAATTTTTATTACATTGTTTTATGTCAGTTTTTTATGTTAATGTTTGTTTTGTAAGGTCAGAAAAACAATAAAATATTAAACCATAAAAACAAACAGACAAATGTGTTGTAAATGTAATAAGATTTATTAAGAATCTTTATTTTTCCATCAGCATAATTCTTCATTAATATGTTTTATTCATTTTCATTATGGTTATTTTCAACAGTGGACAGTTAGATCTAAAAGGCAGCCCAAAGTGTACAGGCGATATATAACTTAAACTTTCTCCATAGGGAAAACATGTTTTTTATATTTTATATATAATATCAATGTAGCATGAGGTCCAGGATTCTGCCCACGTTATACAGTATTGTACATGGTCCCGAAAAGAAACATTAAAAGAGCATTTTTAAAACAAAGGAACTAAACTGCAACCTACATGCAAAACAAAACCGAAAGAAAACAAGCATTTAAGATGCATACACTCATATGCTGAAACATGCGTACGATCACGAGTTACAAAACTTCCATACGTACAAATATTACAAAACTCAATTTCAGTAATAGACAATATTATTTTACCCAGAAAAGATCAACAGGCTTTTTTTTTTCTTTTTCCGCTCAGCATTGCAGTCCAACTCAAAATGAAAAGTATTAAAACAACAACAACCCAGAAGTCGTTTTCTCCTCCATTCACTCCATGTACGTGTGTAGCCAGAGTTGTCACAGTGTTCAGGGAAACTGAGTATAGGCACGCACGATAGCATTCAAACAGGCTCGTCTCATAAATCTGTGTAAAAAAATAACCTGCTAACAGCTACACACACACTCACACACATACACCGACCATCATGCACAGGGCAAACTGCACAACCAACAAACAGCCATGCTACAGGTACAACAGGGTTAAGTAGAGCAGAGAATATATAAAACATATAATTACATTTACAGACATAACGCAGGGAAACGGCAGAGGAGTAAAGGAGGAGATCCACCGTGCACTGCAAAAACACAAAATCCTACCACATACTTTTGTCTAATTTAAGTGCAAATATCTTATTATACTTAAAACAGGATAAAACAGACTTAGAAGTTATGTTTCAGCAAGATACAGGAGCTTGTTTTAAGCCAAGTGTCAAACTCGAGGCCTGCGGGCCAAATCTGGCCCGCCATGAAGTTTTATGTGGCCCAAAGAGTCATGTAAATAGAAACCTTGAAAATAACAGTCATATGCTTAAATAATATTTGATCAATTAAATGAAAGCAGTTTTCAACGGAAGATGATTACCACCACAAAAAAGAAATCTGAATATTTTCTTAGAATTTTGACTTTTTCCCAGAATTTACCTGAATTATTCTGACTTTAATCTTCTAATATCAAAAGTTAAAATTCTGTGGGGAAAAAAAAATCAAACTTCTGAGAAAAAAAAAAAGAAGAAACAAAGTCAAAATTCTGGAAAATAAAAAGTCAAAATTCTAATTATTCATATTTTAGAGGTTTACCACAACCGGCCTTTTGAGGACATTCATAACCTTGATAATCTTGATATGGCCTTCAATAAAAAAAAAGTTTGACATCCCTGTTTTAAGTCAATAACTCCTTAATATTGGTGAAAAAGCAGTAGTTCCATTAGCAGACATTTTTCCCATAAGTGAAATAATCGGGTTCTTTTTCATCGATATTAAAGAATTATTGACTTAAACAAGTTTCTCTGGCCCTGTTTACACAACAATGATCCAATGAAAATGGAATTTTTGTTTCGTTTCGATCAACACGTTTACATGAAGACGTTCTAATTACAATCTTTGTTTACACAGAAACGGCATAAATCGACAAGGTGTAATGCCCCTGCCACACCACTAGTTGGTGCTAGGCTTGGACAAACAAAAGTTCTCCCTCCATTCTTCATCATCGACTACATTGTTTACAAAGTTATCCCACCACTGGCTTGCTGTCCCAGTTCGCGTCCAGTAACGCCTCCTCGACGTGTTTCTTCGTCGCATATATCCGCTAATTAACGGAGTGGAGCTGCATGAGATCCGTCTTCGATGATTTAAGTGAAGAGGTATAAAATGAGCATCGTGTTAGATTTATAAGAGTCAGAAGCACAAATAATACTCTGGTATCTGGCATTTTCTGTAGTTTCTTCTTCTGTGGATTGGAGAGAGCTGTCATGAAATGTGTCATGCTACGCATGAGCTGAGGATTCTCTGGAAGAAAAGATCCGTTTATTCTGTTTACAAGACAACGGACACCGGTACGTTTTAGAAACATCGCAGTCTGGAACCCGTTCTCAAACTGTGCCGTTGTCAGAGAAAACATTCGCCATTTTCGTGTAAATGTACAGTGCAACCGCAACGAAACTCTTCCATTTTCACCAGAAATCGTCGTCGTGTAACTGGGGCATATATCTAGCTAAAAAGTTCCTTGGAAGTTTTTTTTTTTTTCAGGTGTACTAAGATATTTGCAGTAGAAACTAAACCAAAGTCACTTGGTGAGATTTTGTGTTTTTGCAGTGCGTTAACGTACGATAATGAGAGAATGACGTGTTTAGTCTAACATAAACATTCACACACACACACTGATTTACTCATTAGTGGGCGTCAGAACACATTCCCAATTCTGACTAAGAGCATTTATTTCTAATCTTTTTTTTATTATTATTATTTTTTAACAAGAGCGACAGATTTTAATTTTATTTTTAGACACCAGCTCTTTGAGTGGAAAATATTAACTAAGGCTCACAGTATCTGCTGATATGAGCAAAGACCAATTTCCAGAGCCTCAAGAAGCGGTTTGAACTTCTACGGACGTCAAAAAGTGCCATAATTCGATAAAAAAAAAAGGGGAAAAAAAACCTTCATAGTTCAACCAATCACAATTACAGTTAATATCCCAATCTGATTAGGGTTTAAAATAATCTTTTAACTTTACCAACATGTTTCTTCTAACTGGAAGAACTTGGGATCTTCTTAAAAGATAAATCATTATAACACCAATCAAAACATGAAAAAAGTAGGTATGATTTCTGTAAAGGGAATAAAGAGTTTTCCACTCATTCTCAAGAAAGGTTAAATAATTTTTTGAGATGAAATTTCTAAAAAATTAAAATAAAACAAATTATTCATTATTTTTAGATTATTTCATTTTTGTTTTCGACCTACGTTTCATTTTAATTCAGAAACATGCTTCTGGATTGATTGAAACTTTTAAAATTAAATCTCTCAGAGAGCTTAACTGTGCACTGCACTGGAGCACAAGAGCCATAAAATAAATTTAAACTGGAATATTTCTGTATAGTTTTAACAACTGATTATTTTCCAATTATGCATTTAATTACTGCCACATTCAAATAATTCCAACATATTTCATTAATTCATTTGTTTGTCTGAATTATGACATTTTTGATTAATTATTACCTTGTGGCACTTTTAGCACTCAAAAAAAGCTTGAAGGGTGTGAATGACATCAGTGTAAGCTGTGCTGTACGGCAGCAGGGGGCGCTGTGGTAACAGCTAGAAAATAAAACGCACAGAGGGGGAACATTGAGACAAGAGCAGACGGAAATTGTTGCATGAAATGTGAATTTTTCCTGTAGGTTTCTGCTCAGTATTATCACCCAACATGTGTTCATATAATCAGATCCAAACAGCAGAACAGAAATTAGCAGTTAAACAAATTCTCTCTATTTTATGTTTGGTTTGTGAAGTTCAAATTTGGGTGAAGCTGGAGCACAGGAGGGAAAAAATCTGGAATATTCTCCTTCGGACATGACCGAAGCAGTTGTGAATAATTTATTTAGATCAGTGATGCTTCTCCTCTTCATCACATCAGAGTGTGAAACACACTCGTATCACTGCATTGAGAGCTGACGACACCTTTCACCGAATGAGCGTGAGGCTGATGGAAGTGAATCTCTGGAGCCTGAGAGTGAACTGAGCTTATCGTCTTAGTGCTTCTGGTTGCAGAGGAAAGGAATAAAAGAGAGAGAGGCAGGAAGAGGAAAGGTCAAACTAAGTTCCTGACGTTGCGGCGAAGCCAAATGTCACAGTCTCGTTTTCACCAACAATGGCCCGAACCCGCTGAGTCTGCAGCAATGTTGTCATTAGCAGACTGTGACCGAAATATCACAAAGATTCTCGCATCCAAAGCCAACGGACCCGACCGAACGCAGATCCGGGCCGTCTGAATCCAACTCGCCTCTCCGTCGGGGCGTGCGGAGGATTTTCTGCTTTAGGCCAGTTTGAGCGTGCTGACGGGGAAGGTTGGGACCGTAACCATGGTGACAGGGTTGAGGACAGCGGCCTGGCCAACCAGCTGAGGGTGCGGGGCGAGCACCGCCGTGGGTTTCCCCAGCGACGGGCTGCCCTGGCTCACCACAGCGGTGCTGCTCACCTGCGCTCCGTTAGTGTTAGCCTGAGCGCCGGCCTGGATGTGCGGCAGCGCGTGGTGGGTGAAGGTGTGGGTGATGTGGCCCACCATGGTGGGCTGGGTGACCGGCACACCCTGGGAGTACAGAGTCGGGAGGTGGGAAGCGAGGGGCGCCCCCAGGTGCGCCACCGGGTGGACGGTGATGTGTCCGATGGGCTGGGCTATGTGCTGGTGGGTCGCCGTGACGGGCGCCGCCGCTGCCGCCGCCATCGGCGGCGGGGCGGAGGAGGCGGGACCCGGAGATGGGGCTATGTGTGCTAAGTGTTTGTGGTTGGCTGGGAGGGTGTGACTGACCGAGTGGATCACCGACGGGTGTGAGACGGCGGCGTGAGCGATGACGGTCGGCTGGACCTGCACAGCTGGAGTATGAAGAGGAAGAGGAGGAGGAGGGGGGCCGGGAGGCGGCGCGGGGGCGATGGCCTGAGGAGGATGAGGGCCAGCAGGAGGAGGGGCGGCGAGGACTCCGGAAAGAGGAAGAGCGGCGTGCTGGATGGACAGATGTGGAGCCAGGAGCGGCTGGGCTTGAAGGATGGACAGAGCCGGTTTCTGGAGGGACGCTGGAGCGGGACGGGCTGTAGCGTCTTCGTCCACATCCTGGTCGAAGTTGTCCTCTCCCTCTGCAGAACAGACACAAAACTGTGACATCATGACAGGAAACTGCGTTTACAGAAGCAGTTTCCAAAATGAAAACATTTTGTTTTCATAGTTTAGCTTCTCCTGCGACATAAACTGGAAAAACTTGTACATGTTTTTTTCCTCTACAACATATAATCCAGAAAACTTTTAAATGTATTCATGTTTTTTAAAACTGAAAACACAGAACCAATACAGCAAAAAGTAATTGCTAGGGGTGCAGCGATTTCTAGGCCTGTAACGATAACAAATGAGACTGGACGATAAATTGTCCCAGAAGTCAAAATGTTGTTAGGAGACCATTTTCCAATAATGTAATGATAAATGCATAATAATGCTGGAACACATTCCTAAAGATCAATAAACTTTAAACTCTAATGAACGTTTAACACTGGAACTGGAAGACATTTTAAAAACCCCAAATAAATAAACAAAACAACATAAACAACAAATAAAATTAATTATGAAGTTTCTGTCAATAAAATTGTACTTCAAATTAAGGTTTAGTTGAGACCAAAGCATCAGACTGAAGACTGCAGTCATCCAGTATTTGGTAGAAAGAAAGAGAAAAATTATGAATCAGGCAAATGGAAATTACTGAATTCGTTTTAATTTATCATGCAATTAATTGATTTATTGCTTAAGTTCTAATTCCACTAGCAGATTATTTGACTAATAATACGACATTTTCACATGTTATAAGAGAAATAGTCCAGCAATGTAACTTGTTCTTTTTCATCAATATTAAGAAATAATTTACTCAAAACCAGCTCCTATATCTTGGTGAAAATTTGCTTATGAGTTAGTTTTGTCTTATTTTAAGTGTACTAAAATATTTCCACTAAAAACTAGACCAAAAATACTTAGTAAGATTTTGTGTTTTTGCAGTGCAATTTAGTAGAAAGATCATTTCTTAGTAAGTTTGCGGAGCTTGAAATACTGTTTTATAACTCATCATACTGTTTATTAATCATCTTCAGCAAACCTCTGAGGCCTTTGCAGAACAGCCTGATTCCTACCCACCCAGGTTAAATTGCACCGGTGCACTAGTGAAAAAACTGCGTCTGGCAGCCGTTTTGCACCTGAGGCAGTAGACGTGGAGGCCTGGTCGTCCTCCGGCTGGATGGTCTGTCGGAGGACTCGGTCGATCTCCATGGCGTCCATGTTCTGGCTGAGCTCGTTCTTCAGCTCGGCCAGCCGCTGCTGCGTGGAGATCTTCTCTCTGGCCAAACGCTCCATCTCGTGCTCAAACTCCTTCTCCTTACGCTTCAGAGTCTTCAAGGGGAGAAAATCACCAACAGGGTGAAACAAACAGCTTCCATCAAATTTAAGATAAAACACACGATGAATGAAAAAGAAAAAGTAGGAACAGAAAACAGATTCTGCAAAAACACTGAAATTGTTCAAGTTAAGTTGACTTTATGGTATAATTGGTACAAAATTACAAATTAGATTATATTTCCATGTTTAATATTCATTTTAAAAAAACTCATTAGTGCAGAAAAAAGTCTGCAGTTAAATATCAAACAAGAAGTTGAATTATAACAAGAAAAACATTATCACCAACTAATTAGGTCCATTATCAACTTCAGTATGATTATTGACATCCTAATAAAACTAAATATTCCTTGCTAACACAGTTAATGTAAAGTAGTAGTAAATTACACTTATTTTCTTTATTAAATGAAGACAACATAATTTTTAAATGTTGCACAAGTATATTTTGAAAGGTAATTATAGAACGGTCTAGTCTTATCTCTGCTTGTACAACAAGCTCTGCAGCCGCACCCAGAGTCAGCAGACACACCAGCATCATTCCACTGGGAGGACGAGGACCTGCATCATTAAAAGATGCCTCTGATGTCCCCTGTGAGCCACCGTAGTCGTGTAAATGGCAGCTTGTCATGGTGACACACTTCACATGTTGTGTTGTTCTTTTTGTACTGCTGTCTTTTTAAAGAGAAAATGTCAAGATGACGAGGGTTTTCTCTAGCACTCCTCTCCCCCCACTTGTTGCTGCGCACTGCTCTTCAGCTGGCTGACAGCAAACTCCTACATATTTCCTTTAATGACGAAATGGAAAAATTCAGCTGCTTGGAAATATTTGTGTTTGGAAAAACAGAGACGGTAATGTTGTGAAATCTAAACGAGCTCCACCCATCAGTTTTATTAAAGGGCCGGTGTTATGACACATGGTGCCTTTTTATTACACAATCAAGTAACTATATTACCTTCAGTTGCTGTAGATAAACAAAATTTGGCTTCGTAATTTGATGCTTTGTAACTAGTCTCTGTCTCTTTAGCTCCTACTCTTTCTGACACTCCACTTTCGGTGCATCATTCCAACGTTTCTCCAGGAACGGTAGTTTACAACCGTTCCTAGGAGCTTTGGATTGAGAAGCAGTTCATATAATAAACTCATCACACTCGCAGTTCTACCTGGTGTTTCCTTCCTGCTGCCGCTAGTCTGAAGGAGCTTTGGCAACCTGAATGGTTGACACAGGCGATTCAAGGATTCCTCAAACGTGCATGAATGAGTCAAAGCGACACTTTGATGAAGGAACATGAAATAAAGCGTGAAAGAGTAAATTTTACAATTTTACATTTAACATAATTAAGACTACACCTGCAAGCAGCAAGGCAGACTGGCTACTTACCCAGCTAAAATCACAGCCGTGTCTAGAGCAGAGCGACAAACGTACATCCTTCTGCTGAACTCAGTAGGTCTCTATCCAATATTTCTGCTTCAATTTATGAATTAACCCTATAAGACCCAAGTTTCAAATGTTCACCTGGATACATTTGCTAAATTTAACTGTACGAAATTATTTAAATGTCCTGTGAATAAATATATTTGCCCATTTATCCATAACAACTGGAACTTTCAATATCTAGCAAGTTATTATCGCACTTTACTGTGTATTAAAAGAGTGTCTCATCAGATTAATTTCACTTCCTGCTATGGCGGGGGTGAAATTACCGTAATAACCTGACATTGGAAAGCACAACATCTCCCCTTTTAGAAACTGTTAGGTAAATTGTATCATTATCAATTATTTGTTATACTGTTTTATATGTTGTTAGTTTATGTACTCTTATTTGTTTTAGTCATATGTTTTTAGAAATGTTTCTATATTGTTAACCACTCTGCTTCCTTCTTCAGAGGAGGCCTCTCTGAAGAAGAGCAGTGACAGCAGCTCTTCACAGAACGCCCTGCTTTGACCTCTTAGATAGCTATAAAACCATCGCTGTGAAGATTCACAACTTGTCCTGCTTGATCCTGGGTCAGGAACTAGATAAGCTAGTGCGAGATAGATTGTGTTGTTAGTTAGTGATAATCTTGGCGCTGTGACTGTGTGAAGTGTTTCCCCCTCCCTTTAGAGTTACAGCGCTCTCTGTGATTAGGGATCCTAAAGACAATAAAAAGAGAGGAGCAGGCAAATGTGCTTCAGAGCAGTAGGAGATTGTAACTGAAAGCACATCTCTGTCTGTTCTCCTCGCGAGTATTAAGAATCTAACTTTCTCTTGTCTTTCCTGTGTTATGTGCTGTGTTTAATAGGTGTCAACTCTGACAGAAACCATTAGAACTTTTCAGATAACAGCAAAATGTGGCAGAATAGCGGTGCTACAAATCTGGCTGGATCGTTGCCTCCAAGTTCGGTCTGGAAGGGTTAAAACTCAATAAAAGTAGATAAAATACCGGCATTATAAATGTAGACATGTTTAATGCTTGGGTCTCAAACTCCGGTCATCCTGTAACTTTTAGATCTAACTCATTAGCAGAACTCTGCAGAGCTTGATTACATGTTAGTGATGCAGTTTAGCCATTTAATTCAAACGTGCAGGACAAGGGACACATCTTAGACTCTGGCCCTCGAGGAATGCAGTTTGAGACTGCTGGTGTAAATAATTTTGATTCTCTGTAATCATGGCAGCAAAGACTATGAGAGTCTCCTACCAACCTGTGCTTAGCTGCAGAACGTTTTGTCCTGTAGACACTCACTCACCAAGTGAGCATAAGACTGACATAAAACCTGTCATGAACATGAAAGAGTCTTCATGAATGTTTATGGCTGCTGTCATGATGCATCATACGTGAAATAATGACACTTTTAGTGCAAAGTTGACACTTTTAATGGACTTTTCATTGACTTTGCTTTAAAATTGTCATTATTTACAGAAGAATGCAAACTTGACACTTTTAATGTAATTTTAATGCAACTTTGAATTAAAAAATGTCATTATTTATTAAATGACACTTCATGAAGCAGTCATAAACATTCATGAAGACTCCTCTGTTCATGACAGGTGTTATGCACACGCCTTCAAATAAAAAGAAACTCAAGGAATTATCTAGAGTCAGTTCTCTGAATTTCCTTTAACTGGAGGAAAATGTTTTACTTCCAGAGGGAAATATGCAAATCCCTTTCTTATCTTGGATAAAATCATTTTGCTTAATACCCTGCCATTTAAAAGGCTTCTGTCCCAATTCTGATTGGCTGAAGGGGGGAAGTGTGGCGATTCCAGTTTTTTATTTTCTGGTTGAGAAGGAAAAGGGAAGAAAAGCTTTTCCAGCCCCAATACTCCATCTGTGTGACCCAGTTTCTTTGCGTGTCAACTGGCGTAAAACACCACATAGCGTGACAGGCTAAGGACATTAACATAGATTACAAGAGCTGGAGAGGGATGAAGGTTAAGGAAGGGATTTTTGTTTACGTCTACTTAATTTCATTACAGCACACCCGAGTCGTTTTGTGAAAACTGAAAACAACAGAGTAGGTGAAACCCAATGTGATGCTCTGGCAGTTCAGGAAGGAAAGCCATATTTCTGTCTGTGGGCCTCGTAACGGCGCCTCACGTGAGCCACATTCCTCTCTGCTCCATTCACTCTCCAGCTACCAGATCCAGGCCGGAGCGACTCCGACCCCTCAGCAGCTTACGGTTCAACACAAAAACTCACAGGGAGATTTAATGACGGTGAGTAAAACAAACACAAAAATAAAACTGAGCTTTGCAGCAACAGGTTGTTTTTAATGAAGCTTAAATAAAACTGGTGGCTTTTATTAAAAAGCAACTTTCTCCACATGATTTCCACACAAATGTATTCATATCACTGAAACACTTATAAATTTTTTCAGGTTATAACTAAAGCTAAATAAAATCCAACAGCTTAGAAAGTAGATAAATAAGTAAACAAGTAATTTTGTTCCTGATTATGCATTCACGTTTTTCTCTGTCCCACCAGTTTCTTGTTCTCTTGTTTCTTTTAAACTCGTTTGGAATAAATAAATGAATCACAAAAACGAAATCTACCAAAGAGTAATTCAGAAGTTGAGATTAAAAAAATTAACCAAATTAATTGTGATGAATTGATTGTTAAAACGATTGTTAACTAATTTAATAATTGATTAATTGTTAATCGGAGTATACAGACTCATTAAAGGCCATTTGCTGAAAAATCTGCCGCAAAATGTGCCACATTTTTTATCTGATTAATTGCCATAATAATTTGTTGATGAATTGATTACTAAAATAATTGCATTTTGTCATGGTGATGGCAGCATTGTGCTGTGGGAATGTTATTTTTTAGCAGAAAGAAAATTGTTCATGTGTTACAATGACTTTTTGCAGAAAGATTTTTTTATATTGTATTGTTATTTTTGTACCCCATTCATATTCATCTACTTTGTATTAGTCTAAAGATAAAATCCTAGTAAAATGTACTCAGGTTTCTGGTTTATAACATAACAAAATGTGAAAAAGTTCAACAGTAATGAAAACTGCAGCAAAGACACAGGACAACTCTGAATGAGTCCACAACCAACTACTACAAGTTCTGGAGTACTTTTGTTCATCCATGCAAACCCGGTCACCATTCGTCCTGTGGTAAATCACCAAGGAAACTGCTGCCACCCATAGCTGTTTCCGTGGCAACCTCCTACGTGGGATCAGGCTGCTAGAGAAGCAGTTTGTAAAAGAAAGAAGGGTAAAGTACAAGGCTGCATACAAGGAAAGATGTGGCTGGACGTTGGCCAGCTGGGCGCTTTGGATCGGTCCCCCAAAATGCCCTTCCCCCCTCGCCCCCCTCTGCTCTTTTATTCTTTCCTTTTAAAAGATTCCTGCGTCTCTGGAGTAAAAATGTCTGCTCTTGCAGGCTTAATTACAAATCCAACAGGTATTTCTGAAAGGAAGAAAAAAAAAAAAACAGAAGCCCTTTTGGTACCCAATAATTTTGATACAAGTCTGCAGAGATGAAGAGGAAAAAGCTGACATCGCTATCGTGAATCTCTACCTATCCCCCTGTTATCACCATGGAAACACAGCTACATCGTTAACACCTGTCATCGCCTCCCTCCCTCCCTCTCTCTCTGCAGTCTCAAAGAGCACAGCGGATCAGAGGAGGTGAGTGACGGTGATGTCACCGGGTTTGCTGTCGCCATGTGCTCAGATCTCACATGGCTCAGAAACAGAAAGACAGACCGCATTTACAGGTTTACATGAGCGCCGCTGCCAAAACAGGAAGAAAAAATATCTGGGAGGGTGTGATTTTATGATTAAGTAGCTGTTGAACACCTAACAGCATCAAAATGAGCTCATTCATTTTCAGGGAAAACTGCATGGAGTGAAAATGAACAGGAATATGAATGTTTTAAAGTCCTGAATAGGATTAAACAGAAGTAATTTACGAAATGGTGACAGAGTCACCCCAGTGTTGAAACAAAAAGATGTAAAAAAGAAAAAAAGAAGGTGACAGCAAAACAGCTCACAGGAAAAATAAAGGGTAACTTTTCAGCTAAGGTCAAACAGAGGCATAACACCAGTGTCACAGTTCGCTGAAGGTTTAAAAAGTTAACGTTTCAAAATGTAAAGAAGCTGCCTGCAGCCTGGCTACTGGAGCAGACAGCCTGACTAGTTAACCAGCTAATATCAGCTCACCAGTGTTGATCTATAGGAAGAAAAACAAAATGCTGATTTACATCTAAATCAAACTAAATAAATGCATTACAGAACAAAACTGCATATCAAATCTATACAAGTGTTTCAGTGTTTGTTGAAGGCTATTTGTTGGTTAAAGAGTTAAACTTTTATTCAGATTTTCACCCTCCCAAACAGGGTCTCTAATCCACCCGGCTCCTCTCCCAGGGGGGTTCCTGTTCCCCGTGATCTTGCTGCCAGCCGTGTTATGAACAAATTCCCCCATCTCTTGGCCTATTTTAGCTCCGCTCACTAACTTTCCATTGCGCAGCACATTGAACTTCAAATGTCAGAGGATTCACTGCAGAAAAAGGCGACACTGCATTTACTGTAGCCCCAGGCCGCAAAGTAGTCAACCCAGAGAAAACGTCACATAATCACATCCAGCATTAGTTCTCTGCACAGCTAAATCAAGTTCTGAGCAACTATGATTGCTTTTTACTTTTTTAGCTAAAACTTTATCTTATATTCTCACGTTTTTGTCAGTTCAGATAAATTGCCAAGCCAACCAGTCATGATGATGGGAAACTTATGAGTTCATTCACAATTTTTTTTCTTTTGAATTCACTGCCAATTTTCACCCTGAGAGAAAACAAAGGGGCTTTAGCCCACAGAAGAGAGAAAAACAGCAGAAACAAGAAGATAATGAGACTTTTTCCAAAATATTTGACCTACTGACCTGTATGTAACGGAGTGCACTGCGCAGAACGCTGAGGTTAGAGGTTTTCTTCTCATCAACATTAGGAACGTTTTTCTTTAGCGTCTCAAAACACTCCTTTAGATGTGCTCTCCTGCAGACGTTTAAGAAAAAAACAAAATAAAATTTTGTTTCACCGTTACAGCATTTACAAACTGAAAAATGCCAAAACAATTTCACTGAATAAACTCTACAAGTAGGTCTTATTGTCCTGCACAGTATCAATTCAGGTGTGACAGCAGCAGCAGATGTAAATGTTCACATAAATGTTCTTAAAGTGTTAACAACACTATATAAAAAACAACAATAATAGTCATCACATACTGTACAAGATTGTGTAGTTATTAAAAATAAAGATATCAGACTCGTGATCCAAATGTTGGGCAACTGAATTGGATCACTTTTTCAAAAATGTACATAATGTGCATGTCTGCTGAACACTGAACAAAACAAATGACTTAAAATACAGCATATCAGTGCAGAAAAACACAGTGGAAATGTTATTTAAAAATAGTAGAAACAGTGTACGTGACTGTATAATAAATGTCTGGATGTTGTTATTACGTTTAATTCTTGATACTTTTTCATCAGGTGCAACAATAAACATGTCAACATAAAGACTAACCTGTTCTTTTCCAGCTTATTGTGCACCTCTCTGGTTCCCGCTCTGGAAAATAAAATACCATGTAAACATGAACAGATCCTCAAACTTAAATTAACTGCACCATTCAAACACATGAACTAACCCTCCAGGTCTCCTCTTGCCCTCCATGCCCCTCAGGTCCTCTATCGTCACGCCGTTGGGGCGTGACTGAGGTGTAGGTGGAGCTTGATGGGGAACCAGTGCATGATGGGAGCCAGAGCCATTGGTACTAATAGAAGCCGAGTACTGAATCTGCATCTGAGGCTGCTCTAGGCTGGGCTTTACGTCTATCAGCTGCTGAGCAGGTTCCATTTTGATCTGGGAGGGGCACAACAGGTGATGAGACACTGACTGCTGCTGCTGCAGCGGCGACGCCGTAGAGGAAGTGCTCTTTTTTTTGGGAGGCAGGGGGCTGCTGAGCGAAGTGGCAGCTGCAGCGATCGGCGTAGTGAGAGGAAGAGGGGGGACAGAGGGTGTCGCATTGACAACCGGGACCATCGGGATGACGGCGATGGGAACTTGTGAAGGTGGGAGAGAAGGCGGCGGAGGGGCTGGAGGATGATGCGGCTGCTGGCGAAGAGCTTCATCGGCCCAAGCAGTGTGGTTGGCTCTGACAGGCAGAGGTGAGGTGACAAGCTCCACATGTTTAGACTCAGCCTCCGTCTTGATGGCTTCCTTCTCCTGAAACGGCTCATCCTCTGCAGAAAAGCGACGGATAATATTCGGTCAGAAACACAGCACGTTGAAATTCACATAAATTAAAGTGATTCATAATAGGAAGCAAGTTATTGATCACTGGGTTAATCTAGAGCTGACTGCTCTTATCAATAATGATTCATTAAAAACTTTTGTCTTTCCATAACATACAGGGATCAATTTTTCATTTATTGAATTTAAAAAGACAAGCACATCATTATATTTTAACTTTTTTTGTCAACTGTATTAAATACTGAATACATTTAAAAAATGGTGGTCTTCTCACATTATTAAATGTAGACAGTTCTAGAAATCAACCGTGCTTATTGGCATCATGTCTTTTTCCATCATGTTACAATTTTTATAAGTTATGCCCTCCACTTTTCTGTCACATCATCGTCTTCGTAACAAATCAGTAAATATTGGCTGAGAAGTTGATGCTTCTTATTAAGGTCAAACTTAAGGAGCTTGTCGAGTGTTTATGTTTCGAAACAGAATTGCATAAAATGTATTTTGCACACCTGAATCCCTTTGGATTGTTTCTCTTTTGGGCTCTGGTATGGCACCGCCATCTTTATTTTTGTATCAACTGCCTCACTTAAGAATGAACGGTCACATCCTACTCAGGTTGCCGGCAAAACACATTTTAAATATCCAAAATAAATAAACAAAACAACAAGAACAACACATAAAATGAATTATGAAGTCTCTACAAACAAAACTGCCCTTCAAAAAACAACTAGGTGAGACAAAAGCACCAGACTGAAGACTTTTGTCATCCAGTTTTGGTAGAAAAAGAGAGAAAAGAGAAAAACGATAAATCACCCAAATGGAAATTATTGAACTTGTTTTAATTTATCATGCGATTAATTAATTTATTGCAACATACCTAAAGTCAGCTTCACAACACCTTATGCAAACAAATGCCGTTTCCCATCATGTGGGAAACGGCGTGGAAACAAGAGAAGCTGTGTGAGAAGCTCTGCCCTGTGATTGGACTGGTCCAATGCTGAGCATGCCTCCAGCCCCAGGCTACCTCAGGACAGCTGACCAACAACAGCAGAGGACAGTTGTGAGACACCAGGATTCGCACTGGGACGGTCTAAAAATAAACCACCAGTCGAAGATAAAAGCATTAAATTAAAAAAAATGATAAAAATACCTGCAACACACAGATAACGATGCAAGTGAGTAGTTAGTACACACTGCAGCGCCAGGCTCAAAGTAATGTGGAAAACCCTGCATTACCATGGAAACAGCTACATCAAAAACAGAAGATCCCAGGGATTCCTCAACCTGCATGCTGCTAATACAGCAGCCAAACACTTCCAACACAATAGACAATACCAATTGTCAAGAGGCCCAGCTTCATTAGGCAAGACTTTCGTTTCTGTTCTGCATGACTCTGCAAACCCCTTGATGGCGCAAT